TTAATCTTCATTAGGAAAGTTACCACTGTGTGATCAGCCATAGAATTTGGTCGCATAATCTACTCAGGGTAGAAAGTGTTCTGTATTGCATTGGAAGTTCTATGACAGACTATTTGGACCACCAAGTTTCCCCCACCTTATCCCTGTCTCTAATCTATTTTCTGTGATTTCCTCCGTCTACATGTGGAGTCTGTTCCTCCACTCCCCTGACTTTGGACTGACTCTGTGGTTTTTCTTGACCAATAGAACATGGCAGAAATGGTACCCTGCAGATTTCAAGGCCAGGCACCAAAGATCGCTGCTGCTCTCCTTAATGAAGGAGGGCAGAGCCTTTGGGAAGAAAGGTGCTCAGCAGCAGGTGCCGCTGACGGCAGAGATGAGTGAGGCCAGGTGCGAATTCCGGCCGTCCAGCAGTCGTGGATGCAGTCACGCAAAGGAGGAGCTGAATTTTAAAAATCATGTTATTCTGAATAATTGCTGCATCATTGTAAAGTTATTATCATTGTTTTGGTTATAAGAATCACTTTATTCTTCTGCCTCGTCTTCTAGATATCATGCCATTGTTTTTCATTATCATTAACTCTTATGAATTAAGCAACTTTATGTCTTTGGTGCTAATTGGTATTTTCCTACCTAATACTAAGTAGTCTAAAACAGTAAAATATTTTCTTTCTATGAAATAAAACACATACATAGCAAAACTGCTAAGTGTCAGTACGCAGGCAGAACGAATTGTAGAGCAGTAACGACCCGTTTGGTTAAGAAGCTGATATTGCTGGGATTTCAGTTGCACGCTCTTCTTGGCCAGAGACCTCTGATCCACACCTCGAGGCAGCCACCCATCTGATTTTATAGGAATTACTTCTTAAGCTTTTCCTGTCACTTTTGGGGCATGGGGAAGTGCAGTACTACAGTATGTGGCCCCTTGTTCCTGGCATCAGCTGCTGAACATTTTCTCCGTGGCACAGCCACACCATGAACAATGTAAGTTCCTGTGCATTTTTGCGTAGAATTTCATACTCAGAATATATGGGTATCAGCCCTACTAGTGATGGGCTCTCGAGTTATTCACAGTTTGGGGCCATTGTGATTAATTCTGCCAAGCACATTCTTCTGCATGTATTCTGGAAAAACATACAGCATCAATTTTTAAAGATATATGCTTAGGAGTAAAATTTCTGGGTAATAAGAAACTGTTTCTTTTTGTTAGTCTCACAGTAAAGATCAAGGTCCAGTGATAACAAATGGTGTAAATTGTATTAAGTGTATTTATTGGATTATCACATCTTTATGGGTGACTGACGGAAGGCAGTCTCAGTTGATGGGGATAGGAGTTGGGCTGTGATTTGAGCTGTGTAGGATCAAAAGGGTTAAGATTTAGGTGAAGGATTAGAATCCCTCCAAAAGGAATCTTTGAGGAAATTATACTTCAGAGTCATAGATTTTCAGACATTTATTACCTTTTTTACATTATTGTCCCTTACATCTACATGAACCTGTAACAGTGGTTTATATTTTATCTACCTTATGAAGGAAGAGAGCAACTTGGGGGTAGCTGACTGATCTTTAACCATATAAAAAGAGACACAGCTCTTTTAGGACCAAGATTTCTTTTGGCTGTTTCTGCAAAGCGAAAGAGCAGTACTAATGCTTCCAAAAGAGAGACTTGTCAGAAATGGAGAATGAAAGAAACATTTTGCTCAGCCAGATTAAGGCTCTATTAAAAACAGTGGTGGTTATAAGAAGATCGGCATAGGGTAACAACCACGGACAGCAGTTTGGGCTTCTGTACAGAATGTGCCGTAAGTGGGTCAGTGGGCTATAATACACGGTGGAGCTGAAGAACAGTGCCTGTGTGCTCAGTCTCGTGACTGCTCTGCCAGGCGGCGCCCTGCCAAGCAGCTCTGTGCCCTGTTCTTTCCGTGTCCTGGCTGACCTCAGGGGGAGGGCAGGAGGGCTCCTGGCTTGCTGATTTCTTTTCCCTGACAACCTGAAGAAGTCCAAAACTTGAGGATTTACTTCCGGTTCGGTGGTTTTGCATTGATGTGATAGGAAAGGAGGCGATTTAAGAGGTTTGGGCACCGTGTGAAGATTACCTCGGGACAGCTGGGGAAAGACCGGGGCATTGTTGGCTTCATCTGGGATCATGCTGGATAAGGTTGTTGTTACATCTGATACGTGCCTTCCCAAGTGGCCTAAAGTAGTATTTGTGACAGGCTGTAGTTGAGGATGCTTTCAACGTGCAGAACCAAACCTTCCGTCTGCTTACTGCCATGGCTGCTTCTGATAACGGGAATTTGTAGTCTGTTTCCGTGGGCATAGAGCTAACATCAGTCACTGTGGACCGAAGTATTTTATTGACTTGATTTCTTGTGTTATTTCTGAGTGGTCCGGGATGTATGGAATGGGTGATGCTTTTAGACTTTTAGTATTACGCTCTTCCTGGAAAACAAAACGAGCTTTTCAGATGTGTTGTGAAACTGTCAGACTGAACAAGTGGCATAAGCTCAGTTATTCAAATATGTGATTCTTTTCAATGGCTCTGTGTTAGCTAGTGCTTTAGTAGTGTAAAGATATTTAATACTTCCTAAAAAAATTGAATCTTCACTGTATGAGTAGGTTCATCACTCATTTGTTTGGATTCATAGATTTTTTATTTGTTTTTCTGTTTTTTTTTTTTTTTTTTTTTTTTTTTGAGACAGGGTCTCACCTTGTATGCAGGCCGGCCTTGTGTAGCCCAGTCTGGCCTCAACTCAGAGCAGTCCTCCTGCCTCAGGCTCCCAAGTGCTGGAATTAGCACGCCTGGCTCTGTTTGTTTTTATTTTAAAATACTGTTAAAAATTAAGTAGTCCATCTGATGTCTCTGTCACCAGATGTGAATTCCCATTGTCCCCTCCTGTCAGTGCACTGGGTATGTGGCCTTTTCATACAGTGTCCCACACACTTTTCTTTTTTTAGTGTATGTTTGAATGGTAAATTTATTTTCAAGTAACGCGGTCTTTTGATAGTCGTTTTTGTTATTTGCATAATACTGAATTATTTAATAACATGCTAATTATTTCCTCATTTGATGTTATGTAGGTTTTCATTTTTACAGATAATGCAAATATGCATTTGTGCATTGTAGCCTTTTTTATTCTTATTTATATTGCAAGGACAGGTGCCCCAGAAGTAAGTCGTGGATTTATAAACATTTAATTTGTCATATAGTGCCCTATTTTTTCCACTTGGCAGTGTTTTCTTGTTTAAGAATCAGTTCCTTTACCAGTACAAGAGAGAAGCAGCCTATTACACGTTAGCATTTCACAAAACTAATGTTTGAATCACCCTGTAACCTTAGAGGAGACTTTTGCCTTTGCAAATCCAGTTTCCATTTTTAGTAAAATAGTGTGTGCAGTTAATTAGAAAAATCTAGCAACCCACAATGTAATAGTAAATGAGGGCCTCTGGCCTTCTCCTTCCCTGCTCTGGCCTTCGGTGGCTTTGGGAACCACTAGCTTTTAGCTATTTGTCTGCATAAGCGATTATGATTTTAAATATTATTCATAATCAAATCAGGTATATTTTGAGTATAACTTCTTATACTTTTCTCCTTATTCCGGAATTAATAGCTGCCCCCTTTGCTTGCTTTGCTTTCTCTACTCCTGCTTTTCACTCAGTATCCATCAGAGCTGTGAATCTCGATTTTGCTACCCCAGTCGGATAGCCCTCAGATGTGTCTCACTCCTCAGCGCTCCCGTGGGGAGCCTCTGCACACTGTTCCCGGGTAAACAAGTTGGACTCAGGGCTGCCCCTCAGCTGACATCTTGGAATTCCCTTCATGATTTTTCCCAGTCCGTTTCTTTTGGTTTGTCTCGTTGAATCTGTGTTTTGGAGCTAACATTGTATTTTGAAGTCTGCATTTAACGTGTTCCTGAGAAAGATGTGTGGAAGGTTACTATTCTGTTTCCTGGAAGTGTCTCTCTGCTGTCATGCTTATTGATTGCATGGCCAGGTGCACAGGTTTCAGGCTAGGATTTTTTTTTTTTTTGCTGCTGGGGATCTAACTCATGACCTTGCACTTACCAGGCAAGCGCCTCAGCCACTGAGCTAATCCCCAGCCCGAGGCTAGGTGTTTTGAAACAGTGCTTAGTTTTACCTTTGTGCTGCTGTGGAGTCCCATCTCATTCTCATTCCCAGTTCTTTGTTAGGACTTTCTACTTTTTTCCTCATCTTTGGGAGCTCTCAGAATCTTCTCTTGGGGTTCTTATTTCACACTATTCTTGGTTGTGTCTTTTTAAATATTTTTTTGGTGTCCAGATGGTATGTATGCCCTTTCAAACCAGAAAGTTGTGTTTTGCAGTCTCCTGTGTTTTCTCCTTTGAACTGGTTTGACAAGGATGTAGCACCTTATGGACAGACCCCCCCCCCCCGCCCATTTCTCACATTTCTGCATCTCATTGCCCTTTGGAAAAATTTTATTAACCTTATTGTCTTTACCCTTTTGTATTAGATTGTTTTGTTGATCTATAATATTTTACGAGAGCTTATTTGCAGTTCTTCAAATCTTGTTTTGTATGGCATCATTCGGTTTCATTTCTGATTTTTCTGAGATTGATTATGTTTACTATATTTTCTTCATGTGCAATAATTTCTTTTATAAGTTTCTTTTAACATGTAGTTGTTTCATATATTTACTTAACACTGAAGATTTAACATAACTTTTCCTACATGGAAGATGTGTCCTTCTACAGATGACTTGTTTTTATTAAGTGGCTTAATAATACTGAAAATTTTATTTTTAAATAATTGTAGATTATTAATAGGTTGCAAAAATAGAACTAAAAGCTTCTTTGTACTCAGATGATGCCAATCATAACATCTTTACATGACTGCAACTCACTAACACAACCAACAAATGGTGGTTGGTAAAACTTTTAGTCCATTTGAGTGGTCTATTAATCAACAGGCTTGTACTGCAGACATACATGAAATCTATGTCGATCTGTTTTGTCTTTTAGCAATTTTTCCAGCTGGTCAAGTTACGGAAGCTCGGGCTGAGCGACAATGAGATCCAGCGGCTCCCTCCAGAAATCGCCAACTTCATGCAGCTGGTGGAACTGGACGTGTCTCGGAATGGTGAGGACCCCCCTGGGCTTGCCCTGGTCTCTTCTGACTGCAGAGACATTTTTAGTAAATAGAATTGTGTGCTGGTAATGGGAGATGCATTCCTGGTACTTAGGGGAAAGCTATGTATACATTTTTCATACGGAAATGAATGTCACTTTTAAGAGTTGGATGAACTTACAATTATTTATCAAAACATTTTATAACACAACTATTAGAAAACAGTTGATAAAGATTTCCAACTAGATTCATTGATTGCTAGCGTAGTGTGTCGGCCAGGCCATTTAACCTCATCAGCTGCATGTAGTGATCTTCATGCTGAGGCGGTGGTGAGCCTGGGATGGTCCAGGGGGTGCATGATCGGCCCCAGGAGGTGCGGGGGTGGTGCGATCCACCCTGGGAGTGGGGAGGAGCCAGTGCTCAATGGTTGGGTGCTCTGTGCCTGCAGGGCATAGACCTGGCCACCTGCAGGTGCCTTCTGTCAGCTCTCTGTCTTTCTGATTAGGTTGGTGGTGGTTCCTCTCTTGAATTTGTTTGTTTGCTTTTGTTGGGTGAGTTTACTTAAATTTCTAGATTTTATCACAGTTTCGACAGGGTGTTTATACCCAAGCACCTTTCCCTTTTAAGTAGACATCTTGCTTGAAGTCATGTGTTTTAAAGTGTCCCTGCCCTTCCTGTCCCCTCCTCTCACAGCATCTGTGGTTCCCAGGGTCAGTGGATGTTCCCAGGCTCCTCTCCACGATGGAATTCAATTTGCACTGCGCATAATTTCCTCAGGCCCAAATATAATCTTGATTATCATAAAAGGGCAGTCCTTTAATTTCTGTCTGATTACGTAACTGTTTTCTTTTGTGTTTGCTTTTGTCTTTCTTTAGAAATCTGTTGTTTAGAACTTTTTTCCCCAGTGAACTGTAGCCTGTATATTTCAGTCCATTTTTTTGAGGGGAACCCCGGACTCTGACGGCATTCTTCCCCGGATCATCCTTGTAATGTAGCTGTGGAAATCAGTACTTGATTGAAAACATGTGGGGAAGCGATCCCTCCCACAGGTTTTAAGTTTCTAGTTTTTCCATTTTCCCTAGCGTAGTACTTTCAAGGTAAGAAATAATTTTCATGAAAGTAAATGTAGATAGTATGTCAAAAGCAGATATTATGGCCAAAGGACGGGATGTGTGTGACCAACATATGACTTTTACTTTTCATGAAGATGACTCATTACTTTAAAGTACTGGGGAAAATGGAAGAACTGGGTTCTGGGAGGGGGACCTGCTTTAGAGTGGCTCATTTGGTAGGATACTCAGAGCAGCTTCAGTGATGCACATTTGGCATGAGAATCTTTCCGGAGGCTGTTTGCAACACACCTCTCTGTGGGAGTAGTGGGCATGGATCAGTTCTTTTTGTGCCACCCATGAGATGCACACAGTAGGTCACTGGCCACCCTAGTGGTTGGCTGCCCTGTGAGGAGTATGCACGCACTGCCAGGTGGGCCCTGTTCGCAGCATCCAAATTGTTGATGAGCCGCAGTTTGCAGCTGGCATTAGAAAAGAAAAATAAGCAGGGTCCAGAAATACTTGAGGAGAGGAGAGTGCACTGGGGTGATCATTAACTGGAACAGATTCTCTGTGGGAAGCCAGCGGTGTTGGGACGAGGCTGTTCCCTTGCAGACATGCAAACTGGAAGAAGGGCTTTCCTCCTCTCCTCACGTATCCTTTTGTTATCTCCCAGCACGTTGATAAAGAGGCAGAGCTTTGCTAACCTCAGTGCCCAGACATAGGGCCTTTCCTCCTCACGGACACCTAAGTATCCAGGGTATTTTCTTAACTTTCTCATTTCCTGCTTCTCTTTCAGTGAGGGCTGCAGTTTTGGGGAGGCTCTAGCAGATCATTCGCCTTCTTCTTGGGCACCTTTAGACCTGCTGAGGCCTGTAAACTGCCCCTTTCCTCGTGGGGCTCCTTGCTCTGGCTCAGGGTGTCTGCAGTGCTAGGGGCGTAAGGGAAAGAAGGATGGAGGAGGCTGGAACCTTTCTTTGAGGTTCAAAAAACTTCCCCAGTGACAGAGCGGAACAAGTTCATTGCTTGCTGTAATCAACAGGAACTTGGGTCTCGGGCCATTTCCAGGTCGGGCAGAGCTCACCACGCTTCCTTTCCCATTTTCCTTTGGCTGACAAACCACAACCGTGTGAATTTTTTTTTTTTTTCCTGGTACCAGGGTTGGAACTCATGACCGCCTGCTTGCAAGGCAGGTGCTTATGCCGCTAAATCCCTAGCCCCAACCATGTGAATTTTGAGAGCAACCGAGTGATGAAGAGGCTGCAGCTCCTGCCTGTAGCTTTTGAGGCAGTATGATGCCCTGCTCTGCAGAGCCACAGGCCTGTGCCAGGCTTGGGCCTGACCGGCCTCTGCTCTTCTCTCTCCCCAGCCGAGGCTGCCTGGCCTCGGTACAGAAGCTGATTCTTTGGGCTCCAGGTGTAGCAGGGCCATCACCAGTGCTGGCAGCTGTCTCGGTAGGACCCTGTCTGGTATCCTCAGTTCCCAGCTGCCTAAAAGGCAGTGCTTTGACTGGGGAAGTAAGGCAGGTGTTGGTATCAGATCACTTGGATCAGCTGGATTCACGCTTGTCTGGTGTGGACAAGTCGTGGATTGCAAAGGACTTTGTCAGAATCTGCGTTCGGTATGGGTCTGAAACAGGGTTGAACCTCTCTTGCCAGATGCTCATGGGCGATGCTAGCTGTATGGTGCCCCAGCTGTGCAGGGTAGCAGAGGCACATTCGTTCTGCAGCTCCATGGGTGGCAAGGCTGAGATCCGCTGCCCTGACATCCCCTGCCTTTCCCTGGGGGAAACAGAAGTCTTCAGGGTGCCCCTGGCTCAAGGGCAGAATACCAGGGCAGACTCAAGGCCAAGACTGCTTGGATTCTAGGAACAAAACGAGACCTTTCTTGATGTCTCCTTGCACAAGCAAGGGAGAAAAGACCTGTTTTGTGTTTCTTTCCAAAAATATCTAAATGAAGTGAGGAAAGTTTTCACAGGCTTATTTCTTAGGCCAAAAAGAACTGCCACGGCCTCCAAACATGGAATTTTTGTGGCTTTGTGTTCTGCTGTTTTGGGCACCGAGTCAAGGGAATGTATGCTGTATTCCAGACAAGAAGGGGTTCAGGAGAAGAGGGGTACAGAAGGAGGGCAGCACTCGGGGGTTGCCCAGGTGGTGACCGTTTGTCCTGAGCTACTCAGAATGAGTAGCTGAGCACCAAAGAGAAGCCTGGCAGAGTCAGGGCTGTGGTCCTTCAGAGCTGTGCTCTGTGAGGAGGCTCGCCTCCTGGGAGGCCAGTGTGAGTGGAGGGAAGTGGCGCCCACGCTGTGTCCTGCTGGGTGGGAATATGTGTTTTTCAGACAAATGGCCAAAAAATACATGGAAAAAAAAAAAGAACCAAGGTGGTTTTCTCCAAGCATAGGTTAAAGAACGTTGGTGCGGTGTATGAACTGGTATCTGAACATGTCATAGAATGTTGTCTGTAACATTGTGCAGACGTAGTCAAAGGTCTTTCCTCGTTTTCTGTGGTGAGGTGCGTATGCTTCTCGGCCTGGACTTCTCATCTGTTTCCTGTGCTCACTGGCTCTTCTTTGCTGAAGAGACTGGCCTGTGCTGTGGAGGGGAAGTACTACCCCGGAGTGAGACCTGGCTGTCCAAGATCAGGCAGACTTGAGGCTTTCTGCATCCTGCCCCACGGGGTAGTAACTTAGATTTTATAGTCTCTGCTGCAGTTTGACTGACCTCACCAGTGCTGAAACATTACCCATTTAGTGTTGTTTTCCCCAAAGTGCCTCACACGGTTGCAGATGATTTTAGTGGTACAGCAAAACCACAGTTTTTAATATTGCATCGTGGTGGGAAAATTACCCTTTTTCTCCAAATTTTATTCATTTTGTGTTGCCTTCTGTAAAACTTCGTAATACTACATTGTATTTATGTTACATTTATCTTTTATTTCTGGTGGTAATAACAGCTTTGGATTCATGTTAGTGATTTAAACAGTTTGCTTCCTTTAAAAACAAATCTTATTCAGATTTGTAGCAGTTACTTTAAAAGTAAGAGGCAAATAATAAGGAATACAGGGGCCATAACAAAGCGGCAAGACTAAGGCCGGCATCCCGGGTGAGCGCGGCTGACCAGTATTGGTGTGCCACGCTGAAGAACTGGGGCTTATTTTTCTAATAAGGAAAATAGTTCTGCAAACAGAAAAACCCTGCCCCCAAATTGCAGACCTTGGCTCATTATTTTGCAAACTTGAGTCAAGAAGGACTTAGCAGCAAACACGTGTCAGTGCAAATTGTCACTAGTACAGGGCGGCACTGCGGGGTTAGCAGACCACAGCCAGGTCACTGTCATGCTTTTTTGGGGGATGAGGCTGTGGCCAAGGGCTTGGGGTAGCTGTCCACTGTCCAGCCAGTGGGTGTGCATCGGTGTCTGAACTGCTGCTGTTCTTGGCTTGGTTACTGAAACCTCCTGAAATGACCCCGTGTTTATTTCTGAGGTTGTCTTGAAAAAGCCCTTTCTCGTAAGCAATGCGTCTAGTGTGCCTTGAAGTCCTCCTGCTTGGTTATGGACAGGGCGGCTTTTGCCTCTGTAGTGACTACATCTGTCCACAGTGCCATGTAGCAGATGCCGGATTTGCTGTGCAGACCTGAAACTCGCCACCACGAAGCTGCTGCCCTCCCCGCTGCAGTGCTGACCCACTTCCCTAGTGCCTGACTGGCGGAGTGTGTATACTGCAGGGGAATCCTTGTCTCTGACACCCAGAGCAGCAGAGTCTGTCCCTGTGTCCATTCCTCCTGTGGAGGGACAGCTAGACAGTGCTCAGCCTGAAGCTCACGCCTAGGCCTTCACGGGACCACCTGCTTCCTGTCACGAGCCTGCCTTCACCTTAACTTTTACCTTCTCTTTGGTCAGTGAGCGGCGTAGATACATAAAAAAATTGCCTTCTACTCACCTATCAGTAGCAAAGCATCACTTCCTT